CCGGCTCATGTGTTTCTCTAAATGCCACTGCCCGGCCTTTAGGTTCTTGGAAAGGTGGGAACCCGCTCATTAAACCTCCTTCCCGGGGGGCTTGCCTGGCGCTCAGCGCTGGTTCAGTGGAAGAGGCACTGTGGCTGACATTGGCGAAGAGCTGGCTAATGTCACAATTATCATGTACCGCAAACTCAAAACCATGATTGTGAACAGCCATTCTGATGCGAAATGAAAGATGTCCTCCAGTGGTTCTCAACCTTCCTAATCCCGCGACCCTTTCATACAGTTCCTCATGTGGTGGTGACCCCCCAACCTTAACATTATTTCCATTGCTACTTCATCACTGTCATTTTGCCACTGTTATGAATCAGGCGACCCCTGTGAAAGGGTCGTTCATCCCCAAAGTGGTCAGGACCCACAGGTTGAGAACAGCTATAAGCAAACCTTAAAAAAACCCAAAAACCGGCAGTAAAGTCCTTCCTAGACAAAGCCCTGGCTTTGGGGACCATTTCCTGGCTGCCTGAAATAGAGGCATCTTGACCCGGTGGATCCCACCCTCTCTGAGGCGTGGGGCTGACAGGCTTTAGGGCTAAGGCAATGGGGAGAGTCTGGTTTGGTTACGGAAAAGGAGGTCAAGTTCGATGTGGATTTCATCTATTTAAGGAACACTTGTCTTAAAGGCATCTTTGTGGCAAAGTGGGCTACAAACAGAGCAGCTCACCACAAGGCCAGCAGTTCAAACTCACCAGTAGCTCTACAAGAGAAAGATGAGGCTTTCTATTCTTAGATTTTTTGAAATCTTGGAAACCCACAGTGGCACTTCTACTCTGCCTTCCAGGGTTGCTGTGGAGTTGGATTCAACTGGATAGCAGTGAGTTTGATTTGGGGGCGTTTTGATCCCTGACCCCCACTGGTTGTTAACATCTGAAGACTAACCAGACGTACCTCTGGGTTAAGGGCAGGGGCAATTGGCCAGTGAAACCTCACTGTGAATCAATATAGCCTGGGGTTTTCCTGTTACTGAGGGGCCTGAGATACTTTTGAGTAGGGTAGGTCGGACACCCCAACGTCTGGGTGTTGGGGAGAGGAGGACACCTGATGTCTTTATCTCCTTCCTTTCTTCTGGTACTTGACTCCTGTCCCCATCCCCACATGTGATGAATGGCTGGGTCCTGCTTGGGCCACTGCCGTGTGCACCAGCAGACATAGGACATAAGAGAGTGTTGTCTCCCAGCCCATCAGCCTGCCCACTCCCTTGTCCTCTGACTTGGTGCCCTTCCCAGGGCTATTTTAAATCTCTTAGCCCAGCTCCTCTGGGTCATCTCTGCCCTTCCCTACTCAGTAACCATTGGCAACCTGGCGTGAAGCAGCCTAGCATGCCGGAGATCACTGGATTTATCCTCTAGGCCTGAAGAGTGGACAGCTCCATCTGCATTCCTGGTGTGATTGGGATTTGCTGGCTCGAAACAGGAACACCAGGAAGCTTGGGCCCTGACTCCTTTCCGTGAGAGGGAAACCATGAAATCCGGGAATAAAAATCGGGTCCTACCTACCTGGATGACAGCCCAGGTGGCAGAGAAGCAAGAGGTGCCAGCCAAGAACCCCAGGAAGAGGAGAAAGGCTGCGGTGACCATGACGGCGGCCACGAGGTGGGGCTGCAGGAGGGGGAGGGGCGTGGCGTGGCGTACCCACTGGCCACGCTCGCAGGCCTGTGCCCAGAGTGCCACTCAGCACCACCAACGTACCACCCAGTGGGCAAGAAGATGGTCCAGACAGGCCCTGTGGCAGACCCTCAGGGAGGTGCTGGGCCCACTGAGACTCAGCACCGGGGGTGGGGTGTGCGCGCACTGATGGGTGGTCATCGATTGTTCTGGCAAGGGCCATCCCCCTGGCACTGGACATCTTCTCGATGCCTTGGCCTCGGGGCGATGGTCTGTACTAGTGTTTCTCAAAGTAGATGATATTGCCTCTTGGGGAGGGGGTGCTGGAACCACCAGTGGGAGGGGTGGGGGTGGGGGAGCTGCAAAAGCTGTACTACAAACTGGATTGATCGCTTGTAGTACCAAAGTTTTATTGACAGGGGGCGCTGAGTGACTTTCTCCTACAAAGAGGGCTTTAGCCCAAGTAAGCTTGGGAACCAAGGCTCTGTGAGGTCTGTAGGCCACTGTGTGAGCCCCAGGAGCTGCCCTGGGAACCCTACCGCCTGCCCCCTGGGGAGCCCGAGCTGCCAGCTTCCTGCTCTCCCTTCCTTGGCTTTCTGTGACCCATGTCCCTCTTCTAGACCTGCTGCCCAGAGGACCACGTACTGCATGAATGAAGCTGAACTCGTGGATGTGGCCCTGGGCATCCTGATTGAGGTGCACGCCCTCCCCTCGGTGCCAGCCCCTCCCAGCCCACAGCCCGCAGGCTCCAGGAGGGATGAGCTCATGGGACCAAACTGATGGGAACTAAGCCCTCCTAGGCGCACACGCGTTTTGCAGGGTGTGGTTTGGGGAGAGTGGCTGAGTTTTTTGGAAGAGACCCCTGGGGGTAAAGAGTCAGGCGGAAGAGGGACCCAAATCCTCAAAATAACAGCAGCAATAGTCCGCACCACCTTAGAAGGAGCCCTGGTGGTGCAGGGATTAAGCATTGGGCTGTTGATGGAAAGGTTGGAGGTTTGAACCCACCAGCCGCTCGCTCAGTGGGAGAAAGATGTGGCAGTCTGCCTCGGAACAACTCCACAGCCTCGGCACACCCCACAGGGCCCTCCTGCTCCCTCCTGCAGGGCCGCGTTCCTTGCGTCCCCAGCTCCAGAGTGCAGGCAGACCCAGAGACTCCTGGGGCAGCTGCTCCTCCCGCCTCTGGCCCTGCCTTTCTGGACTCACCGGCTCTGATGGTTTATTTTTTTTCTCGGCAACTTGTGTGCCCCTATTCCTTTCTCTGCCCTTTGGCCCTGCAGCCTGCCAGAGCTGTGAGGAGGGGGAGGGAGTGTGGGTGCCCCCGACGGGCAGTTGGCCTGACAGGTGATCCCTGGGCCAGTTCTGTTCGGTGGGCTCCCCCACCCCTGAAGCCCAGGAACCCTGTGTCTGTGCTTGCGCTTCACAGGGCCGCCAGCCGGAAAGGCCGGAGGAACACACAGCCCTGGCCGCTGCTGATAAGCCGGAGTGCTCCCCCACCCACTCCGGGCCCCTGTGGCCTCTCGGGAGCCAAGAGGAGGATGAGGACAAAGAGGAGGCCTCGCTCCCCCCCAGCCGTGCCTCTTCCCTGGGGCTGGGGGTCCCCGACTCTGCCTGCAGCCCGCCCCAGGTTGACGAGGAGGAGGACGCCTTGAAATACGTCCGGGAGATCTTCTTCAGCTGATGGATGGACAGCCGTTCCCAGACTTTCTGCCACAGCCCCTTGCTTTCCCGACGGGCAGCTGCCTCCTTCCTAAGGAGGTGGGGGTCGGGGGCAGGGGCTTTCCTCCCCGCCTGTGCCCTCCCCTTCCAGCGCCAAGGTCTGAGGTCCTCAGGCTTGTACTCTGTCATCCGGGCCAGGAAGGCTGAGGCCAGGAGGCTCACCCTGATTGGAACTGCAGAGTTAACGGTTCCCAGAGGGCAGCACGGTCTGTCCGTAGGGGGAGAATCCACCCATCACTCAGTGCACCCCCTCCATGCAGCCTCCCCATCTGAGACCGATATCACCTGGGGCTGCCAGGCTTTTGCCTCAGTGCTGTGTGGCTCCCCGCCCCCCACCCCCCAAGAGTGGGGGTGGGGGTGGGAGTACAGGTCCCAGTGACCTAGGCCGGGTGACCAGGAAGAGACCCAGGGTGTGTGGTTATATAAATATAGAGTTTATTACAACATTAGTGAGACTCTTGAATTAAAAATCTTTGTGCTAGGCCGGAGGCTTTTCTTGACTCATAGGCATGGGTGCCGCCGCCTCTCCCTCCCACCCTCAGGGCCAGAGGAGGAGGGGTCAGAGGTCCGAGTTTGCGGGCTGCAGGCTGTAGTCCAAGGAAAGCCCACAGCAGCTCTCACAATGGAGGGCTGTTGGATAATACTGAGACTCTGGCCAAACGGGGCTGTAACACTGACCGTCCAGTCCCAGCCACACCCAAGTCAGCCAGCAGAGACCTGTTTCCTGGCTGCCAGAGAGCACGATGCAGGACGACCGTTCTCTGGCTGTTGGGCCCAGGCCCTGAAGGGCAGCTCAGGTCAGGCCCAGGGGCAGGGACTGCCCCTCCGTGCTGTTGCAGGAGCGTGGCACAGGAGGGGCTGCGGGTGGGGGGACAAGCCCCAAGGTGCCTTGTGATGCCCTGGGTCCTTGACCATGAGCCTCCTTTGGCAAGTCCAGCTGGAGTCCCCCTGAGGACAAAGTAGGAAGGGTTTTCACAGGTCAGTTAACGCCACACATTGTCCTGTGTGACAATGATTTGTATGGGGTTTCCTTTGGGGGTGGGAGGGAGGGAGGCCTGAACTTCCTAAGGGCAGACGGCCACTGGCCTGGTCCTTCAGCCACCACCAAGGTCCCCCCCACCCCCCCGCCCCCGCTAAAGCTTTCGGGCAGTGATAGTAGGGAAGAGGGCACTCGCCCTCTCAGTCCTGCGGCCCAGCCAGCCTAGCAGGTCTCAGGTGCGTCCTCTTTTCTCAAGACCCCCTGGGGGAAGGCCCTGATGGCTGCCAGCAGGAGGAGGAGCAGGCCCTGGGCCATGCACAGGGCTAGGAAGGCTGGGCCCAGCAGCGAGAGCTGGAGCCACTGCCACATGGAGGCCAGGAAGAAGCTCAGGCCGCCGGCCAGTAGCACCAAGGAGGCCACCAGGAAGCCCCTGGCCAGCTGCCACTCTCCCTGGTCCCCTTTGCAGCGAGACAGGAGGAGTGGCAGGGGGGCAAAGAGGGTGAGGACCAGGGCCCCGTAGACGCCCAGCCGGGCCAGGGCCAGGCTGACCCACGACACGCCCCAGGTGGCCAGCTCGGGGCCCTTGTAGCACCGCAGCTTGTCAGTGGCCTCGTCCAGCAGGCAGAAGTTGTAGAAGCCGATGCGCAGGTCCGGCAGCTCGAGGAGGTCGCCGGCCTTCCAGACGAGCGCGTAGAAGAGCAGGATGTTGGCAGCCACCGCTTGGCCCATGATGGCCAGGAACGGCAGGAGGCCGCCCTGCCTTGGCTGCAGGACCACCATTCTCTTGGGTCACCTGGGGCGGGGACAGGGGGGTACAACCTTGAGTGCCAGCGCAAAGGGCAAGGTATCTGCGAAGCCCACTTCCGATCCACCCTCCAGGCTGGCCCCAGCCATCTAGGCCTGCAGTTCCACGCCACCAGCCACTCCTCAGAACCAAGACGAGACTCCCACGCCCTAGGAGGCTGTGCGGCCGGTCCTCCAGTGCGGCCACGAGCGGGTGTGGTTTGTCCAACTTACCAGTTGCCATGGAGTCGACCCCCACAGGGGTCGCAAAAGCTGCGTTCTCAGAACGGTCTGGGTGGACAGAACCTCGGACCTTTGGGATATGAGCCCAGCGCAGTCCCCAACCCCCATCGCCCCTAAGACCCCTCCCTGAGGCTATGACTGCTTGCAGTACCTGAGCTCAGGGGTCGTCCGGCCAGTCTTGGCCACAGGTTAAATAGGACAAGCACTGTTGTACTGTCCTTTGTGGCCGTGTCCTCCCTGGGGAGCGAACACTTGGCACGGGTGCTGCCTTGTGGGCAGCCCGGCTTCTTACAGAAAGAGCTGGCTGTGGGGCCGGGGGTGGCTTTGGCCCTTAATGTCGTCAGACTGGCACAAAGGGAAGTTTTAACCAGCGGGTTGAGGGCTTCATGGTGTGGAGGGGGGCTGCTGGCCAGGAGTCCGTGTACACTGCGGGCTCCAGGCCGGCCTCTAGTCCAGCCTGGGACCCTCGGGTCACTGTTGTGTCCCCAAAGGGTTCCTGTTCTAAAGGAAGGAGATGGCACCCTCCCCCATCCCCACCCCAACCCCCATAGCCTTGGCTTGGTTCTGTCGATTCCTCTCTAGGAGGGCTAAATGGAGGGAAACACGGCCATTGTGGCCCTTTAAACCGCGTCTGGTGTTCCTCTGCCCACTGGGTCCCACCCTCTGCACCCTCCATCCTCCAGGCCCAGCCTGCTCATGGTGCCCCTTGGGGGATACACCCTGGATCCTTAGTCCAAACCCATATGTCCTCACTTGCCCACCCCTCCGGTGTCCCCAAAATCAGGTCAAAGCCCTACAGAAAGAGGGGGCACCCGGCTCCCCTAACCCTCAGAAGCCTGGGAAACCCTGTGGAGCAGGTGGGGGTTCTGTTTCTATTTCAGTCATTCCAAAAAATAGCTTCCCAAGGGCTTGCTCAGCGTTTTCCATTTTGTTTTGTTTTTCTTGACACACGGGAAGGCTGGAGACAGTGGGGCACACCCTCTCTTCTTTATCTGAGGCCGCGGCCCGTGCATGGCGGCTGGAGCCTCCCCGTTCTGGTTCCTAATTCCCACCATTCCCCTCCGCCCGGCAAACGGCTGAGTCACTGTTGACATTTGTTGCACATGGGCCCTTTCCTGTTTCTCATAAAGGGAAATGCGCTGACTGTGGAAAACAGGAATAAGACACAGGACTGCGTGAAGGAAAGGCCAGACCTTCAGCCGAGAGGAATAAATAGCCTATTTCCTCCGGCAAGGCGTGCAAACGCCAGGGTCGGTCTGTCCGCACCTTCGTCTCTCTTTAGGGCACCGCTGGTCTTTTAGGCAGCACTCCAGGGGTGACCCGGAAGCCTTAGATGGACCCTGTCTTTCACCTCTTTGTAGAATAAGTGGGACCAACCAACCTGCGTCCCAGGAACTGCTACCCTACTTGCTGACCAGCCAGGACGTGTGGGTTTGGACCCGGAGCCAGGGTGTGGCACTGCGGGCAGCTCTGGGGTATTTTAACATGGCCATCTTAGGCCATGCAGGCAGGCATTAGTAGTGCCTTCTGTGCCCCCAAAGGTAGAACTGTCAGCACGTTTAAGACTAATCAACTTTTAAAACCAACTTAGAAAACTTATCCTTACAATTCTGCCTCCTTAGAACCAACCCCTCTCAGGACCCACTGTCTTAGGCTGGGTTCTCTAGAGCAGCGAGGCCAACGGGGCGTTTCAAAAAGTTCCCAGGCGATGGAGCGAAAAGATGAAGCTCAAGGAAAGTGCTCACTTGGTTGGAGAGGCTGGCAAGTCCGTGGTCGGCAGGTCAGACATCAGGCTACGGTAGCTAGACGGCTCGACCGGGAGGTCGCTGGCTCCCAAGCTGTGGCGGTTGAAGGATCCCAATATCCACAGGCAATCTCAAGCCACTAGCTCAAATCCCGAGAACTGGAAGATCGCTGGGACCAGTTAGACAAACCACGCCCCTGAGGAAACACCCCCTTACAACGGATTGGCCGGACACCAGTTACATCATATATGTAATGGCTTGGTCCTCAAAATGGTGAGATTGGCTCATCAAGGAACCAACCCCAAAGTAGCAACATCATTCCCTGAATGCCAACCACCGAAGGGTGCGGCCGATCCACGTTGACACCGAACTTCACCCATCTCCCATCTGCCTGTATCGGGCAGCACCCTGTTAGCACTGGAAGGCCTGGATTATTTTGCAGGGAAAGAAGCGGTGCAAGAGTGGTCAGACTGCAGTCAACGTGTGAGAGCCAGAAAAAGAAGGCTACCCTGCCTCGCGGGCTTCTCTGCGCAAAGCTCTCTTAAGTAGTTGAGCACACACAATCACACACATACACCCTTCAAAGGCTGTGGGGACTGAGGGAAAAGGTAAGCCCACTGTCTGCAGTCATAGGCTTTCTCTCGGGCCACATGAGGGCCCTCGCTAGCAGGCTCGCATAAGCACTTCAGAAAGTTTCCAAGTGATCTCTCTCACTTTCAAGTAATAATTGTACTAGCATCGACAATGGCTCATGGCGACTGGGAGTTTCTTTGCTCTTGAGCGCTCCTTCAAACCCAGCTCTGTCGACTGCTCTCCCGACAATAAACCCTTTCAACCCAAGATCCACCCCTGTTCTCTACCCCTGCATGCCCACCCCTCCCAGCACCCGTGCCAAGGCTACTCCACCCCTCCCAGGACCCCCTCAGAGGCGGCAGGGTTTAAGGAAGTTCACAGTCCACACCCCGGAACCAGATGGATCTTGCTCAGACACTGCCCCTAAGTCCCTTCTGACCCACGGGACGCTGCAGAACAGAGAGAAGCTCCCTCTGCGGGTTCCGAGACTAAATTTTCATGGGATTAAGAAAGCCTCGTCTTTCTCCCGCAGAGCAGCTCGTGGTTTTGAGCTGCTGATTTTGCAGTTAGCAACCCAAGGGATAGCCCATTCCACCACCAGGACTATTAGAAGTACAAAGGTCAAAGTAGTGCTATGAGGGCTCCAGTTCCTAACACGCAAGGGTCTTTTCCAGGCAACACATGGGGTCAGTGGATGCTGCCGACATGGCCTCTCAAGAATAATACATTTGTAGACCACTGGACATCTCCTTACAGAAGGGTCTCGGGGAGGAGACGAGCCAGTCAGGGTGCGATGTGGCAACGATGAAACATACAACTTTCCTCTAGTTCCTAAATGCTTCCTCCTCCCCCACTATCATGATCCCAATTCTACCTTACAAATCTGGCTAGACCAGAGGATGTACACTGGTACAGATATGAACTGGAAACACAGGGAGTCCAGAGTAGATGATCCCTTCAGGACCAGTGGTGAGAGTGGCGATATCAGGAGGGTGGAGGGAGAGTGGGTTGGAAAGTGGGAACCGATTACAAGGATCTACATATAACCTCCTCCCTGGGGGATGGACAACAGAAAAGTGGGTGAAGGGAGACATCGGACAGTGCAAGATATGACAAAATTATAAGTTATAAATGACCAAAGGTTCATGAAGGAGGGGGGAGCGGGGTGGGAGGGGAAAAATGAGGAGCTGATGCCAGGGGCTTAAGTGGAGAGCAAATGTTTTGAGAATGATGTGGGCAATGAATGTATAAATGTGCTTTACACAATTGATATGTGTATGGATTGTGATAAGAGCTGTATGAGCCCCTAATAAAATGATTTAAAAAAAGAAGAATACATTTGCCTTCTCCTTAGGAAACCTTCAGAAAAACGGTCTATTCTGAAATGGATAGTAGTGATGATTGCACAACTCTTCTTCATATGATTGAATTGTTAGATATGTGAATTGTAAGCCAACAAAACTATTTTTAAAAAGGTTAAGCATACAACTACAAAAAAAAGGGGGGGGGAGAGTGAGCCTGATCAAGCAAGAGAAGTGGTCTGATCCGAACAATGGCTCTGCCGGGTGTCTGCTGGAGGTCCACTCCGAAGTGTATGGCTAGGGTCTTTAGGATGTCCAAGGGTCCTTAGAGGACACAAAACACTCACAGGGGCTGTGTTAGGCCAGGTTGATTAGAAAAACAAATCCAGAGATACTCATATGTATGTAAGAGAAAGTTTTATATCAAAGAGAAATTGTAAATTAAGAAAACATCCCAGCCCAATCCAGATCAAGCCAATAAGTCTGATATTAGCCCATATATCTGATACCAATCAATAAATTCCTCTTCAGACTCACGAAATACATGCAATGATGCCGAATACAGGACGATCACAGGCCAGTGGATGGAAAGTCTTGTGGATCCAGTAGGGGTGGAAGCATCTCAGTGCATGTGGCTCTTTCTTCCAGCTCCATGGCTCTGGCTCCATCAGTGTGGTGCCATGTGGCTTATCAACAGGAATGTGGAGCAGAGAGAGTGTGGCCCACCTCCCCAGAGAAAGAGAGGAAGAATCCTCATGAGAAGGCCATGCCCATAAGGAGGCATCATCAGGCTGTGACCTGATTGACAGGCTAGACTCCACCCCTTCACTCCTAATATCCTCAAGTTGACATGAGTTTATTTAACCACCACACGAGCTTATTAGAACAATCGTGGGCTCTTCTTAGGAAGAAGTTGTTTGAGCCCATTGCTGCAGTCACTGTGTCAATCCATCTTGTTAGGGACATTCTGTTTTTTGGCTGCCCCTCTACCATGCACGATGTCCTTCCTTCTTCATGGACTGGTCCCTCTGACAACACGCTCCTCTAACGAGCAGTCTGGTGTACTTCTTCCAAGATCTAGGTGGTTTGTTTGTTTGTTTGTTTGTTTTTTGGTAGTCCATGGTACTTTTAATATTGTGTTAGGCCAG